GTGCAGGTGTTGCTGCCGCTGCTACTGCTGCTCGTCCCGGTGCTGCTGCCGGCCTCAGCGCTGCTGCTTCTGTTTGTGCCTTTGTGGCTCCTGCTGCTGCTGCTGTACGTGCCGTTGCTGCTGCTGTTGCTGCTGGTCTGGGCGTTGCTGCTGATGCTGCCGCAGAAGCTGGTCGTGGCGTTGCTGCTGCTGTCGCTGGCCGCGGCGTTGCTGCTGCTGCTGCTACTGAGCGCGGAGTGGCTCCTGCTGCTGCTGCTGCCGGGCGCGGCGTTGTGGCTCCTGCTGCTGCAGGGTGTGGCGTTGTCGCTGCTGCTGCTGCTGCCGCTTCTCTTGGGGCTGTTGAGCTGGCCCTGGGGCCCTTTTGAGGGGTTCGGGAGGGGCGGGCGTGGGCCGTACGTACACCCTGGGGGGCCCCCCTGCTGGGGCCCTTGGGGTCACTTGCTCTCATATACTTGGCTGTAGCATTTCTTCGTTTTCAGCTCTAAACTGCAAAAAATAATCAAAAAACCCCAAAATAGCTTTAAATTCCAGACCCTATACCCTAAACCCTAAACTCTAATCCAAAAGCTCTAAAAATAAAACCCTAAATCATTAAAATTACGCTTCAAACCCTAATCTCACTGAGAATCGGTCCGGGGGTTTTCACTGCAGTGGCGCACGTGTCTGCACACCTCGAGGGAAGACTTCGGAGTCCATCAGTTGAAGTATATGGAGGGGAAAAAATAAATAAATAATTTAATTCATTTAAACGCAACTAAATGCAAAAAATCCGAAAACGGGGTGAAAATAAACACCACAACCCCACTTGGTGGGAGTTACACAGGGGGCCCCTCAGCCTCCACGACTTATTCTCCAAAAGTTACCACTTTAATTTAAATTTCACCTTTTTCTTTTTAAATAAATGAAAAATGCATATCTAGACGTCAGATTATTGTTCTTTTCATTTTCCATTTGACCACACTCCCCGGAACTCCTTGGGGGCCCCTAGGGGCCCCGTGGGGCCCCTGGGGCCCCCCGGGGCCCCTGGGGCCTCCTCTTTGTTCACATGCTGTAGAATCGACTGGTTGGTTTTGAAAATGAAAAGTTAATTATTTTTATGCATAAATAATTATATTATTTATAGATATAAAATTGAGAAAAAGAGGAGAAAATTTGGTTTTTGGAAGTCCACCGTTGTTACAAAGTGTTTCAGAGGCGTCCATAGGCCTCTGTGCAGTCCACAGGCAGCTGCAGTGGCCAAACCCTCAGCCCTCAACCCTAAACCCTAAACCCTAAACCCTAAACCCCAGCCGTTTGGCGCATCAGCGTTTGCTCAGTTTTGCTGTTTTTTTTCCTTCCGAACCCTCAAAAGAGGTGCTGCTTTGCGTATTCCCAAATGCAGATTGATGCAGAAACATGCACATTAAGAGAACGAATCAACCCCAGCTGCAGCAGCAGCAGCAGCAACACAGCAGCAGCAGCAGCAGCAGCAGCAGCAGCAACACACGCAGCAGCAGCAGCAACAGCACAGACGTAAAGTCGGCGTTAGCTAGTTACTTTTCATTTATTTATTTTTTAATTGTTCGAAAAATCAACAATTCAGGATTCTTTTATTTACTTCAACTGTTCAAAAAATCAACAATTCAGAATTTGGTTATTTATTACCAAAAGGAAAATCAAAAAGCCTCAAAAATAAATAACTCAGCAGTCAGAACACCGTCATTATTATCTCTTTTGTTCTCGGTATTACTATAACCATTATCACTGTTATCACAACTTTAACGTTAATGCCATTATTATTATTATTATTTCCATTATTATTACTATTATACTTCTACTACAACTATTATTTGTATTATCATTCCGATTATTATTGCAATCATTGCTCTGATTATTGCTTTCATTATTATTACCATAGTTTTTATCATTATTACTATTATTATTATTATTATTATTATTATTACTAGTTTTATTAATTATTATTGTAACAATTACTACTATTATTACTTTTATTATTCTCGTAACGCTAATTATTATTATTACTTTTATTATTATTATAACAATTGTTACTATTATAACAATTATGATTATTACTATTATTATTACTATCATTATTATTATAACAATCACTATTATTACCTTCATTATTAATGTTTATCACTATTGTTATAACTATTATCATTATTATTACTATTATCACAACAATTACTATTATTATTATTAATTGAAAGCCTTGCCTGTGGCATTTCGACGCAGTGGTCTGCTAGGGCGAGTAGCTGCGCATGCAGCCCCTCTTTTTCTGCGCCCAGCAGCAGACAAGTTTTTTTTTGAAATTTAAATTTTTTTAAAGAAATTGAAAAAGCTGTTTGTTCTACGGCCACGACGCTGTAGCCCTGGGCCCGCACTTCTCCCAAATAAGCAACAAGTCCTTTTGGGGGGACCTGAAAGTTGCAGATTCAAAATCCAAAATGCCACAAATGCTGCTGCACCCCTGGGGGCATCCACTGCAGCAGCAGCAACTGCTGCTGCTGCTGCGGCGCCGGCGGCGCCGTGTACAGAAACCGCGGGAAATAGCAAATACTGCAGCCGCTGCGGCAGCAGCAGAGGACAGCAGCAGCGGTAGCAACAGCAGCAGCGGTAGCAGCAGCAGCAGCGTTAGCAACAGCAGCAGCGGTAGCAGCGCTGGCAGATATCAGCAGCAACTACAGAGGCAGCAACTGCAGTAGCAGATGCAGCTGCGGCAGCGGATGCAGCAGCACATGAGCATTCAGACACCAGCAGCAGCAGCTGCTGCAGCACAGCCTGCCAAAAGCAGCAGCAGCAGCAGCAGCTGGAGTAGCAGCCGCACAGATTTAGCAATTAAATTTTTGTCTCACTGCTATCATGGGCAGCCACTGGTGGGCAGAAACAGATATGTTTTTGAAAGTCGCATCCTTAAGAAGGTCAAGGCTCCTGACGACGAGGCATCTGAAGATAAATAAAAAAATTAATTATTAATTAATTAATATGTTAATTAATGACAAAAAACAAATAATCTAACTGTGATGCAGCAGCAGCAGCAATTGTATTCGCTGGAGCAGCAGCAGCAGCAGCAGCAGTAGTAGCAGCAGCAGCAGCAGCAGGGGGCGGAGCAGCAGCAGCTACTTGGTGCAGCTGACTTTACGTTGTAGACTTCACAAGTCCTCGCCAAACCTCCCAAGTTCGGCGGCTTTGAAATAAGAGAAGCAACAACAATTAAGTTGCTGCGCTGCCGCAGCGCAGCAAAAGCAGCTAGCGGGTCTTCCACGCAGAGGCAGCTGCTGCTCAGCAGCGCCTGCAGCACCAACCCCCGCAGCAATAGGGTCTAGGGTTTAGGGTTTGGAGAGGGTATAAGGAATGGCGTGTGGCCAAGGCAGCCCCTGCTAGGGTTCGGCGCCAATGGTTGAGGGTTTAGGGTTTAAATAGTTCGGATTAGATCTAATGGCTGAGGGTTTGGGGGTTAGAGTTTAGGATTTAGGGTTTAGGGTTTAGGGTTCAGCTCTTAGCTCGACCTGCGTCGCAGGCACAAATTTCCTTTGGCAAGGCCCTGGTTCCGTCTCTGCTGCTGCAGCGTCTGATCTGCTGCCAGCTGCTGCTGCCAGTGCCATTTCTGCAGCAGCAGCAGCTGCTGCTGCTTCTGGTAATGCAGCAGCAGCAGCAGAACTAGGCATCGAGCCATCGCCACCAAGAACTTCGTCACAATACCCCGCAGCATCATAGCCAGAAGCAGCAGCAGCAGCAGCAGCACCGGGAGCAGGAGCAGCAGCAGCAGCAGCAGGTGTGTGCCACGCCCTCTTCATCTCCTGCTGCACTGCGTCCTTAAGGGCCACTGCGAGGGCCCAGGAGGGCCTGAGGTCAAAGCTGGAGAGGACATCAGCTAGGTGCTGCTGCTGCTGCTGCTGCTGCCCTTTCGCGTCTTTGTCTCCTTTCATTTCTTCTTTATTAAAAACTTCTTCTTCTTCTTTTGCTTCCTCAAACCCCAGGGCGCTCGCGCCCCGCAGCGACGCGCCTGAGCAGCCGCAAAACAGCAGCCGCAGCAAACCCGCAGCAGCAACGGCGCATGCGCTAATTCACAGCAGCAAGACAGCAGCAGCAAGGCCGCAGCAGCAGCAGCGCATGCGGTAACTTGCAGCAGCAAGACAGCAGCAGCAGGCAAGAGCCTCGTTTTCAGCGTTTCTCTAATTCGCTGCTGCACTGAACGATCGAGGGTCATGTGGCAGATACCTGCGACGTCCAGCCAAGACTTAGGGCTTAGGGTTTAGGGTTTAGGGCACACAGCAAATATTTACATTTTCTACTTTAAGTGTGGGGCTTAGATGGGGTTCAGGGACCACAGCAAGTGCCCGCACTCTACAATTAGGGTTTAGGGCGTAGGGTTCCGGGCCCGCAGCAATAGCCTCACGCTGCACTGACGGTTTAGAGTTTAGGGTTTAGGGTTTAGGGTTTACTGTGCTGCTGCATGGTCTCGAAGACAACCCCGGCCTCGGGAATTAGGGTGTATATACAGCCATCCCTCTCTGGACACCATCTTTCAAATGCCATTTCCAATTTAGAAATCATCATTTTACAATCTTTCGATTCGCTTAGCATGCGGTACAAGGCCTTCACAAACCCTGACCTGCTGCTGCTGCTGCTGCTGCTGCTGCTGCTGTTGCTGCTGTTGCTGCTGCTGCTGCTGCTATTGCCTGCGTCGGGGGCTGCTGGCTGTTGATCCGGGACTTCGATTTGCGGGGCCTTTGCTGCTGCTGCTACGCGAGACAAAAACTCATGCACTAAGTACTGCGCTGTGCCTCTGCAGTAGGCGGCGTTGGAGGTAAGATAAGGGGCAATGGCCAGCAACAGCAGCTGCTCTAGGGCGTCCGCCGTAGACTCTGCTGCAGCAGCAGCTGCTGCTGCTGCTGCTGTCCACTTTCTCAAGTGCAGCAGCACGTAGCCCCCCACAGTCAACGCACTTATCACTGCCTGCCGCGACAAATCATACCGCCCCAAAATATCAACCAAAGCAAACACGCAGCCATAGGGGCCCCCATGAGGGCCCCCAGGGGGGCCCCCAGATGGGCCCCCAGAGGGGTCCCCAGAGGGGCCCCCAGAGGGGCCCCCGGAGAGCAGCCCCTGTAGGGCCCCCTTGGCGACTCGAACAGCAACGAATTCGACATAATGCCGGACATCTGGCATGAGGGGTTTGCTGAGCAGTTCAAAAATAAGTTTTTGAATCTTTTCCACGGATTGAGGTGTATATACACCTAAGTGACACGACAAACAAGACAGCGCCTGCCACGCACGCAGCTGCCCCCGGTGGCGAGCAGAGTTTGGCATGGGCAAGCGGTCGCAGGGGGGCCCCCGGGGGGCCCCCTCAGACTGCTCCCCTCCCGCTTCGTTGCCCTGCTGCTGCTGCTGCTGCTGCTGCTGATTTGCCTGTTTGTTTGCGTCCCGCTCTGCTGGCTCTGTCTCGTCTTGGGGTGTCTGTACAGCTTCAATTGCCTTTCCTGCCAGAGCTTCAAATACAGCGGACAAACTTGTTCTTAAGAACTCCATTTGATTTGCATCTATGCAGAGCAGTCCCGCAGTGGCCCCTCCAGGGGGGGCCCCAGGATCCACTCCAGGGGACCCCCCTGAGGGCCCCCCCGGGGGCTCGCCAGGGGGCCCCTGACGCGTATCCGTGCTGTCCTGTAGAGGCCCTTCCCAAAGAGCCCCCTCAGTGGACGCCTGCGGCAGAGGGGCCCCCGCTGAGGAGGCCCCCCTCCCAGGGGCCCCCAAGGGGGCCCCTGGGAGAACGGCAAGCCCCCCTGAGGGGGCCCCTGGAGGCGAGGGGGGCCCCCCCAGGGGAGCCCCGGGGGGCACGGGGGGGCCCCCTAGAGGGGCCCCCGGGGAAAGGCTTTGGGAAAGGGCATCTAAGAGTGTGAGGGCTAGGAGGCGGAGATAGGCGGGAGTTTGGGAAAGGCCCGAAAAGCGGGAGGGGAGGGCCCTGGGGAGAAGAGCCAGTGGGGGGGTTAAGGCCAGGGGTGGAGCAATGCAGCAAAAAGGAGGAAAAGGGTTTGCTGCTGCTGAGTTGCAAAGAGACAAAGAACGAAAGTCCCGGCAGCAGGGACTCACTGACAAGAAAAATGAAACCGGGTCGCAGCTGGACATTCCCACGGGCAGGCCGCAGCGGCTGCAGCACGAACTGCTGCTGCTGCTGCTGCTGCTGCTGGCGGCTGCATGGGCGGCGTTGGCGTCCTCGCTTTCGCTGCTCCAGCTGTCGCTTCCACTGCTACTGCTGTTGCTGCTGCTGCTGCAGCTGCATGTGTAGAGGGACATGGGGGTAGGGAGCTCAAACGGGTCTGTGGGGCAGCAGCTGTCTCCGTCCAGCAGCACGAACTCGCGGTGCAGCAGCAGCTTCGCCAGCAGCCGGGTGTACGTACAGGGCAGCCCACAGCCCCCACGCCTTTCTTTCGAATCCGCAGCTCCAGCAACAAACAAAGAAGACAAAAGAGGCACTGAGGGGGCCCACAACACATTTATGAATAAGTCCATTTGCATGAAAAATGCAAAATAAAACTCGTTTCTATGCATGCATATATCCATGCATTCTCATTTCGCATTTCAAGTAAATCATTAATGCCAGCAATACATTCATTGTGCTTGAGGATGCTATTCCATTTTAAATTGTTATTATTATCATTATCATTATTATTCTTATCCTTATTCTCATTCTAATTATTATTATTATTACTATTATTATGATTATTTATTATTATTAAGGGGAATCTCTACACTACAATACTGTTCATTTCAATACAAAGGTGCCTCCTAGGTGCAGAAAGATACCAAATGCATAAACACATTCATAGACATAATATCATAAAAGACAACGTATATGGATATTAATCAAATATACCTTCATATAAATACGAAGCAAGCAAACATTGCGCGAATTAGAGAATGTCTATGCGGGTTCTTTTAAGCGCCACTTCCGCGTTTTTCGCCTTCTCAAACGGACCCGTATTTACATTCATAATAAATATCGAAAGGCAAACGGATATTAATCCGAGTTTGTTTTTATAAAACACACAAATATGCCCAAATGTATTTTCATGTGATGATGCATGCAGAGGCCTGCATGCGCATGCATGCGTGTGGGCATGTGTTTGGTGTTTATACAGTGCATGCAGGCAAGGTTGCAGAGTATTTAGCCACAATAAAATGCCTTTGCTTCTGTTTATTCATTAATTCACTTATTATTCATTATTATTTATTTATTTATTTGCTTCTTATTTGTTGTCTATTTATTCCTGTATTTGCTTTTCCTTCGCTTACAAATCACAGCGCGAGAGAGCCCCAGGCTGACGGTGCCTTCAGCAACCAAGTCTTCAACAAACTCAAAGATGAACCCACCACGCTCGGGGCCCCCCTTTTGTGTGGGGGCCCCCTCTGTACCCTCTGGGGGGCCCCAAGCTTCCAAGGGGCCCCCCAGACCCAGTAGGGGCCCCGCTGGACTAGGGGCCCCCTCTGCAGCCGGGGAAGGGCCCCCCAGTACCCGCTGCAGCTGCCACTCCGACCGCAGCAGCAGCGGGTGCAGCACGAGGCAGCAAATGCCTCCAATAAGGCTCGCTGGGATCGTCGTCTCCAGCCGCCCCCGAATGACTTGGCGGCAGTCGCTTACGAAAGCAGCAAGTGCTGCATGCGCTGCTGCAGCAACACACGCAGCTGCAGCAGGACCGGGGGCCACCAGACAGTTCCAAGGGGCCTCAGTCAAGCCCTGGAGGGGCCTCGTTAGGGTGGGAACAGCAAAGAACCAAAGCGCATGCAGCAGCCCCGGGGCCTCTCTCGTGCTGCACTGTCCAATCTGCTGCAGCAGCAGCAGCGACACCCCCACGGGCCCCGGGGGGGCTTCGATTGCTGCTGCTCTTAAGCTGTCAATGTCTGGGGCTGCTGCAGCAGCAGAAGCTGCTGCAGAGCAAGATATACCGAGGCTCGGCAGCAGCAGCCCCCAGTGAGTCTGCTGCGCAGCTAAAACACGGCTTCTGTACTTTGCTGCTGCATCAGCAGCACAAGGTGGCAGCAGCTGCTGAAAGATAGCTGCGAGTCCTTCTCCGGGCGTTTGACCAGCAGCAGGAGCAGCAGCAGCAGCGGCTGCTGCTGCTAGAGGAGAAGCAGCAAATAAACCCGAAAGGGCTTCCCCCTTGCTGCTGTAAAACCAATAAACTGCATCCATCCAGACCTCTAGGGGCCGCAGCCCCTCAGGAAATATGGAAGCAGACAAATCACAAGCTTCAGCTGCTGCTGCTGCTGCTGTTGCTGCTGCTGCTGCTGTTGCTGCTTCACACGCTGCCACGCCAGCAGCAGCGGCTTCTGCTGCTGCAGGCGCTGCAGCACAGCCACCACACAGCCACAACTTTGGGCCTTTGCAAAAGCGTAAATGAACATATTTGCTCTTGTGGACTTAATCACAAATACACAAAAAAAGCATTTATCATCTTAAACATTAATATAGACATAAGCATAGGCAGAATAAAACAAATGTGTTTGTTCTTCTTTGTTCTTGTTTGTTGTATTATGTTGAGATTTGTACTTATAAGAGCGCATGCATGCATGCATGCATGCATGCATGCATGCATGGTTTCGCGGTCTGTGTTCTTACTGCTGAGGCCAAGGGGAGCTCTGGAGTGGGGCAGAGGTGCATGCTTTAGGCTGGCCAGGGTCTTGCGGTTAATTGCTGCTGCAGCGACGCAGTTGCTGCAGCTCCAAATTCCCAAAATGGGAGCCTCCTCAGCCCCTTGCATACACGCAGCCCAGCTTGCATGCGCGCATGCAGCGAAAGCCCCAACTACAGCAGTCGCAGCTGCCACCAGCAGCAAATGTGCTGCAGCGCCCGCCCCACAAATGCGCACTTGTTACGTTTATTAGTTTTAAATCAAAAGAAAAATAAAAATGCCTTCACAGGCTTGCGATGCGTCTTTTAATGTCTCTATATTTATGCATATAATTCTTCATGTATTTGCATGCGCACACATATATTTCGCTGCAGATATGCATGTGAAGAGATAAAGAAACAAAAGTGCATCTTCTGCGATGAAAAAAATAAAAGTAAAAGAAGTATTCACTTTTCAAAAGGAAATAAATAATGACAGTTTAAAGTCAGTGAAACTTGGCTTTTCAAATCAACAGCTGAGGTGTCCGTACACCCCAACACCCACCGCCTGTCGTCTGCTTGCTGGGCTCCAGACCCCACAGCCCCAAGACCGTCACAGCTGTCCACAGCAGCTGCTCCACGCTGCTGCTGCTGCTGCTGCTGCTGCTATTGCTGTTGCTGCTGCTGCTGCTCCTGCTGGATGCGGCGGTGGTAAAGATTTCGTCAGAGCTTATATTTGGTATTTGTTTGAAGGCTTTTACAATTAGCTCACTGTTGCAAAAGTACAAAAAGTGACCCAACAGCAGCACCCGATGCCTCACCCACAAGCTGAAATCGCTGCATGCGCTACTTTCCTCTGGCCTGGAGCAAATAAGTAAATACGTGAATAAATTTATATACATAAATAATAATAACAATGATAATAATAATAATAATTGTATGCTTGCACGCACCGATACAAAGAGAAAGAAAAACAAATTTGAAAGCCGCAACAGCAGCAGCAAAGTCGTGGGAAACGCTACCATTAGAAGCAGCAGCAGCAGCAGCAACAGCAGCACCAGGTGCAGCAGCAGCAGCTGACCAGAACAGAACATCAGGAGGTGCGCCGGACCGCTCCGCACGCTGCAGCTCCGCAGCCAGGCAGCTAAGCTGCTGCTGCAGTGCAGCACAGATTTCCTCAAGCAGCTGCAGCAGCATAGTCACGCATGCATTGAAAGGCTCGAGCAAACGCCGAACTAAAGGTAGCAAAGAGCTGCAGCAGCAGGCTTTACGAAGGCTCTGCTCATGCTGCTGCTGCTGCAGCAGCAGAAGAAACAAAGAATCGCTTGTGCGTACGGCCTAAAACGCTGATGTGCGTTCTGCACCTGCTGCTGCTGCTCCTGCTGTTGCTGCTGTCGTCGCTGCTGCTGCTGCAGCGGCAATGCAAATCCTTCGCAGCTCATTGCTGCCAGCAGCAGCATTCGCCTGTCGTCGCATGCTGCTGCTGCGGTGTAGCAGCAGGAGGCCACCGCCTGCGGAGGCCCACAAATAGCACGCCAGAAGCAGCTGCAGCACCAGCAGCGCTTGCTGCAGCAAGTGCAGCACAGTTGCAATTGGCTTTGTCTATCATGTCTATCACGTCTATTTGTCCAAGTATATTTGTGCAGATAAGCACCAAACTGCAGCAACACCTACTGCAGGCAAGAGCTACAAAAAAGGACACGAAGCGTATATGTTCAAGCAGCAGCAGCAGCAGCAACGGCAGCAGCAGCAACAGCAGCAGCAGCAGCTACTGCTGCAACAGAAACCAGTAGCGACAGCAAATGCACTGCTGCTGATAAGTTGCCAAAAAAGTTCGGTATTCAGCTGCTGTTGTTGCTGCTGCTCGTCGTGCTGCTGCTGCTGCTATCACTTACTTGGGGAAGTTTGCTGCAGGGCGCCACAGCAGCAGCTGCTGCAATCAAGCGCGACAGGAAAACGGCCGCATAAATGTCCTGTTGCTGCTGTTGCTGCTCCTGCTGTCTGAAAAAGGGTTTCAGGGGGCCTTGCTGCGCCTCTTGTTTGCTGCTGCTTTGCTGCAGGCTGTTGAGCAGCATCTGCTGCACTGCAGAGGCAAAATCGTCAAGAGAAGGGAAGGCAGCAAGCAATAGGTGCACCAACGCCGGCACCTGCTGTTTCTCTCCGCGCTTCCCGTCGCTCCCGCTGGTGCTGCTGCTGCTGCTGCTGCAGAAGCTTGCTGCGTCTCTGAGCTGGCTCAGGAAGAAGCTGTGGGGCAAAGAGACCCAAAGGGCCCCCATGTGCAGCAAAGACACATATGCTGCGGCAGCATGAACTGCAGCAACGCGCAGCAAGCGTTCGTAAAGGCCCCAGCGGGCGCTTTGTGGCATAGACCCAATCACAGGCACAAGGTGCTTCACTGACGCAGCGAAGGCAGCAGCAGCAGCAGTCGCAGCCTGCTGCTGCTGCTGCTGCTGCTGCTGTTGGCTTGGGAGCAGCAGCGCCTCCAGAAACACCCGCAGGGGTGTGTAGGTGTAGCAGTGGTCCCCCACAGCTTGCAGATATTCAGCAGCACAGGACATGCTCAGACACCCAGAAACCCCCTGCTGCTGCTGCTGCTGCTGCGCTAGCCTCTGCAGCAAAAACGACTGTGCTGTTTGCTCAGCCTCTTTGCAATTATTGCCTCTCGTGAAGAAAGAAGGGACGGACATGTGGCGAACCAAACACACCAATACAAAACTCCGCGACACGCACAGCAGCAGGCTGGCCTCCTTGCTGCTGCTGCTTCTTCTGCTGCTGCTGCTGCTGCTGCTGCCGCTGCTTTTGCTGCTCGGGGCCTCCTCGTTAGTGCTTCTGCAGCAAAGAGACATAAACGTCAAAATGAAAGTGCGGCTCAGCACTGCGTTGTCGTGGGCAAAGGCCCGCAGCAAAACTACCTCAACCCAGAGGGGCTGCACAAGCAGCGGGGATAGCCAATTGTCGTTTGCTGCTGCTGCCGGCCCTACTGCTGCTGCTGCTGCTGCTGCTTTTGCCGCAACGGCGCACAATCCCAGCAGCGTTTGCTGCTGCTGCTGAACCAAATGCTGAGAGAAGTCGTCGAGGGCTTCCAAAAGGTTCATGAATGATGTCCAGGCGCCACGCTGCTCTGCTGCAGTGACTCCCGGCAGTTGCTGCTGCTGCTGTTGCTGCTGCTGCAGCAGCTGCAGCAGCTGGCGCGAGTTGCTGCGCACACAGTTAAATGTGGGACACGTGACACCCCAGAAGAGCCACCGCCACCTGGTGTCGTTGCTGTCCCAAGGCTTCCTGCCCTCCACTTGATGCTGCTGTTGCTGCTGCTGCTGCGGCAGTTGCTGCTGTTGCTCTGCTTTAAGCAGCAGCAGCAGCTGCTGCTCCGCGTCTGCTGCTGCGTCTTGTGGGCAAAATGCTGCCAAAAATAAATCATAATGCCGCAGCGCTAGCTCGAAGGCTTCCCCGCTACGTGGGGGAGGGGGCCCTTTCTGAAGCATATCAAATACCTTTAAGCTCACACTGCTGCTGCTGCTGCTGCTGCTGCTGCTGGTTGTGAGCACTGTCAAAGGGTCAAGGAGACGGTGAATTGCAGCGAAGATAAAAGCAGCAGCAGCAGCAGCAGACACGTGCTGCAGCAGCGCAGGCAGCAGCAGCTTCCGGGTGTCCTCGGCCAACGGCTGCAGTGTATCGACAGTGAGCAGCTGCAGCATCGGCGGCAGCAAACGGCAGGCCAGCCGATTGAGTATTTGTTTTGTCTGCTGCTGCTGCTCCTGTTGATGCTGCTGCTGCTGCTGCTGCTGGTCTGAAGCCTGGGGAGACAGCGCACGCAACACAGGCAGAAGCCGAGGTGTACATACACCTCGCGCACCCACTGCTCAGCCCTGATGAATCCAACAATAAAAAACAAATTAAAGTGATTAAGTTATTAATTAATTATAATATTAGATAATTAATTCATTTATTTTTGTTACTTGGCGCTGCATGCGCTCCAGAGACCGACAGAAGACGCAGGTGATCTCAGCGAGCACCGAAAAGGAGAGGCCGCTGAGGTGTACATACACCCCAACTTGGTGCTGCTGCTCCTGCTGCTGTTCTTGCTGCTGCAGCTGAGCCGCAGCAGCAAATGAGTTTCCTTGTGATGGGGCAGCAGCAGGGCCCTGCTGCTGCCCCTTTTGCTGCAGGCCAGCAGCAGCAACCCGCGACAGCTGCAGCTCTAGTTCGGAAGCAAGAGAAGCCAGGGGGTTCTCATCTTCATCAGAATTGAAATATAGTTTGTGAGAAGAAGCAGCAGCTGCTGCTGCGAGACAAACTATTAAATCAACTGCAGCAAATCGGAGCAGCGAGACTTCCTCGGAGTCGCCGTAGGCAGCAACAGCAGCAGCAGGAGCAGCAGCAACCTGCTCCTCTTCCTGCTCCTGCTGCTGCCGCTGAGCTGCAGCAACATTTTGCTCCCCCATTCCTCGCCTGCTGGACCTGCCCAAGTGCTTGACTCGAGACCCCTTAGCTTTGAAGCTCCTTTTGTGTCTCTCAGCTGCTGCTGCTGCTGCTGGCAGCAGGCGCAGCAGATCCGCAGCAGCAGCAGCAGCAGCAGCACAAAATTTACTGCAGCAGACGCTCGCAGCAGCAGCATCACTCAGCAGGTCCTTAAGCACGAAGAAGCAGCCGCATAATAAGCGAGGATGCAGCGGCGAGAGAACGGGCCCCTCAGGAGCATCTCTAAAGGCCCCCTCCTCAGGGGCCCCCTCTGGGGGCCCCTCTGGGGGCCCCCCTGGGGGCCCCCCTGGGGACTCATTTGAGGGCCCCGCAGGGGAGCTGCCAGGGGGCCCCTTATTTGCTGCTGCAGCAGAGTGCAGCAGCAGCTGCCAGTTACAGCTTGCTGCTTCTATGCATCTGAGGGATTCTTGGGCGAGGGCCTGCAGCTCTGCGTAAACTCCGCTAGAGGCCCCATCTGCTGCTGCTGCTGCTGCTGCTGCTGCTGCCTTTTCCTCAACCCATGCACGCACGCAGGCCCGGTAAGCCTGCAGAGATTCTGGAGAAGACCCTAACCTTTCAAAGAATACTTGGAGGGCCCTTGGGGGCCCCTCCCGGCCCCTAAGGGACACGGGGGCCCCCCTGGGGGCCCCGCCAGTGGGGCCCCCACGGGGCACCACAGGGGAGCCCTCAGGGGGCCCCCCAGCGGGCCCCCCCTGGGGGCCCCCAGACAGGACCCTGTCTTTATCTGTGGGGCCCCCGGTGGCAGCTGGGAAGCTGCCGCTAGGGGCTTCAGCGGGCATCCTCAATAGTGCGAAATGAGGCAAATAAACGGAAATATTTGAATTAAAATGAGTTTAAAATACCAGTTTAATGCAATTTAACTCATTCAATTCAATCAAATTAACTTTCATTATTCAGGTTCAGCAAATCTTGTAAGTTTCCCAGTGAAGGCAGGGCCCCCTGAGCATCGGGCCGGGTCAGGGGCCCCACCAAAGAGGTCAAGGGAAAGAAATGGAATAACAATTTAATGTATTTTCCATTTTAATTTGCTTATTTAATCTTTTTGTAAAGGAATATAAAGAGAAGGAGTCCCTGAGGGGCCTACAGCTGTTTCCACCTTCTCGTGTGGGGCCCGAGGGCCCCTGGGGGCCCCGGGGGGTCCCCGGGGGGCCCCTGGGGGCCCCAAGGGGCCCCTAGGGGGTCCCGGGGGCCACAGCAGTCCCTTCTCAGACATTCTCTGGAGTTAAAGGGGCCCCTGGGGCCCCCTACATGCTCACAGAGGGGCAGAGGAGGCCCCCCGTTGAATTTAATTGGTACTCTGAGAGGGTCCTAGGGGCCCCTAGAGGGTCCCTCAGGGGTCCCTGAAAGGAGTCTGGGGGCCCTAGCTGGGGGCCCGGAGAGGCCTTGTAAGATCCTTAAGTTAGCACTTTAGGCAGCTTCGGGGTCCCCAAAGGGCCCCTAAGGGGCCCTTAGATTGTGGCATAATGTCCCAAGTGGGGCCCCCAAGGGGGCCCCCAAGACTGAGACGCTTTGCGGGCTTTTGCCAGTATATAAAATAGCCGTTGGGGTGTACACACACCCCGTGCTGACTCCAAAAATATACAATAGCTAGGAATTCCTCACTATCAACTTCTCGCTCTTCCAAACCCTAAACCCTAAACCCTAAACCCTAAGCTGAAACCTACACTTAGCCTCCGCTCCATCAACACTGTGCAGCAAAGCCACTGTGTTTCATCAAACCCATCCACGGTTTCTAATTCCTACCGGGGGGCCCCAGGGGGCCCCAGGGGGCCCCCCGGGGGGTCCTCCAGGCCCTCAATACCCTCCTGGGGCCCACTAGGGGTCCCCCCTAGGGGCCCCCAGGCTTATTCTGTTAGCCTTCGACCTCTGCGAGTGTCTCTTTGTTTACATGAGCTGCATAGGCCGCTGCGGAGAGAAGAGAATCTCTAGCTGCTTCTTGTGCTGCTGTTGCTGCTGCTACTGCAGGCTCCTCAGCAGCAGCAGCAGCAGGCGGGTCTACAGCAATCTTGAAGATCCAGCCTTCCCCCTCGGGGTCCCTATTAATGAGCCCAGGGTCTCTTTTTATCTTTTCATTATACTCTATAATGTGACCAGCAGCAGGAGCATACACCTCAGCAACAGCCTTTACTGCTTCCAGTGTACACACAGGGGCCCCCCTCTCAACCCACGAAGGGCCCCGGGGACTTCTCTCAGGGGCCCCCGGGGGCCCCTCATGCGGTGCCCCCCAGCGGGCCCCCTGGGGATCTCCGTGGGTTCTGCTTTTAGTATCTCCGTCAGGACCCTCCAGGGGGCCCCCAGGGGGGCCCCCAGGGAGGGAGGCCCCAGGGGGTCCCCCAGCGGGATCCCCAGGGGCGACCCCAGCGGGGCCCCCAGGGGGGCCCCCAGGGGGGCCCCCCGGGGGGGCCCCCGGCGTCACGAGGGCCTCTATGTAAACGACCTCCCCCAGCTGCTCTGCAGCAAACTCTGAAATGCCTGCAGCAGCCTCGCAGCTTTTAGGGGCGACAAACCTGAGGTATTCATGTGTGGGGCTGTAAAGGGTACCTGAGGAAGTGGAGAAGGCGCGGTGGTGGAATATGCTGCTGCTGCTGCTGCTGCTGCTGCTGCTCGTTGGGTGGGTGTTGGAGGCGCTGCTGCCGCAGCAGCGCCTACTGATGCTGTGTGGGAGGCAGTGGTTGCTGCTGCGGTTGCCCTGGCCGCTGCTGCTGCTGCTGCTGCTGCTGCTGCTGCAGGAGGGCTTCGCTCGACAAAGGGCATGCAGCCTCTGCCTTAAGGCCAAGCCAGCTGTGCATGCACTGCATGCAGAGCATGCAGTGGGGCTTCGAGCGGGCCACAGGGGGAAGGCTGAGGGGTCTCTGTGGTGGAGGCCCTTGGGCAGTGGCGGGCGGGTCGGGCGAAGGAAAGCCAAGAAAAGCGTCGACATTTCTTTGAATTAACCCGCAGTTTCTCGATAACAATAATTATAATTGCTCTTTTAATATCCCCGGGGGAGAAAGGGATTAAAAATAAAGCTGCCGGGGTGCATTGTTGAACCGGGAACGCAGATGGTTAGCGGCGGAGTCCGCCACTCAAGATTCGCCGGCGTAGCGCCTTCTCTTTTTGAGAAATTCCAAAATTAAAATGACATAAAACTTATTTAAATGATGGGAATTGAACTTTTACTCATCAGCAGCTGTGCAACAGCACCTCCTCTGTGGGCTGTACTGTATGCACAGCTCCCTTGACTGACACCATACCATGTGGTGGTACAACCGACCATTTCTTCCTTTTTGTCTGCACATGGTTTATTTAACTTTAATTTATCATTTATATTTTATTCAATGCAAAAGGCAAGGGGGGATTGCCTCTGCGCGAACCCCGCCAGTACGCCGCTGCAGTCCCGATAAATCTAGCCTTTCACTCTTCATGAAGTACGCCAACGAAAAACTTTTGACATGCAAAAAATTCAATCTCTAGCTTTTTTCAGAGCTTCCCTCAAGGTGTATATACAGCCCCTTGCCTCCGTGCTACCTGGCTTCATTGAAATATCTGTTCTGGAGAGTTATCATTTGTGAGAACATATGAAGCATTTTATCTTCGCAGCCGCATGCATGCGGCTACGTAGTGTGATAATATATATGTATATGTGTACACCTTTCGCATATGAGAAAGATTTATATCCTGTAAAGTGCTTCCACACGCTCGCATGCATCTCCCATTTGTATGTGGACTCATTTGCGCTTGACTTTGCGTGCTTATTGTTTGCTGCAACAAGAAAAAACATATTCAGAAGCACAAAGGCTGGTACAGTCCAACGCACTCGTTGGGCGGGCCAGAGCCCCTGGCAAGGCTTTGCGGACTGTTGTTTAATCAGAGTTTGTTTTTTTAAAACAAATTTACTTTCTTTCGAAATGAATCCACTTTCTTTGATTTTCAAAAAACCAGGAATCAAATGACAAAGACCAGGGGCCCCTGACTTTATAGGAAACCTTTTTCAAATTGTTGTGCAATAGTTCGAGATTCACTTCAAATAAGCCCTGCAAACTGCTGCGGGCTCCCCCCCACAAGCTGCAATCTAATCATTTAAAAGATCTGTTAACAACAATTGTGGTGGCTCTGGCCCTTGGAGCAAACTGTAAAGCTTCTTATTGTTGGAACACACCTCAAAGATCTCTTTGGAAAGCTACAACGTTTGGGGATATATGTTGAAGTGCTTGCGCAAGCTTATATTTGGAAGTAAATATATATTAGCATGCACAAATGAACATACGCAGGCAGATATCATCGCACAGAAGTTGTGGCAACAAAGATCATTAAAATTATGACAGAATAAATCAGCTTTGAAGTGCCTTCTCGAAATCTCTTTCCCTTGAGTGTTACTGCTCAGGGTTCAGGGTTTAGTGTGAGGGCTTGCAGCATTGTGGTCCGTGCTAAAAAAGAGTTGAACTTTTTCAAATTCTTGTGGCTAATGAGCCACAAAGAATGTGCAGCGAATATGAACTGCGCATGCTTTTGCCTGCCAGCGCCAGAAGCAAAAAGAGCACGTGTCACTGTAGCATTCTTTCTTTCTTTTTTGCCGGGAGAAAGTTTGCACTTCTCGCAGGAAATAAATGTGGCTTCTGTTCATTGTGATAGGAAATGGTCTTGATATTTTGAGCTGGCTGTTTCAGTACTGCTGTTTTGCTCGGTTCAGCTTTTCAGTGTAATTTGTTTAAGTTCAAGAGTGTTTTAATTAATTAAAATTCAGAAATAAACCAATAAAGTTTATTTATTCGATCAAAGTGGATGAGCAGGCACTTCGATATCTGCTGCCGAAGCCCCGTGTCACCTGAGATCCACTTAGATATGGGCAGTCTTTGCTGCCCCTGGAATATAACTACTTGTATAACAAGGACATATTTTATTTAGTCCAGACATAATTTCCAGGGGAAAATTCAATGAATTGAATAGTTTTGCATTTTTTCTGGTGCGGACTGTGATTGGGGCGTGCACCGACCCGGCCTCTGCTTCGCGTATGCGCCTATGGTCTGTTCCCATGCTTTCCAGCACACTCTTTAAATAACTAGACGCCACTGAATATTATTTTAGCAAAAAAATATCTAAATCTGCATAGATTCGAGCAATTTCGCGCTGCAGCTGCGTTTCCCTCGTCCGCGACAGCCAGAAATCCCCTTGCCGCCAGCTGAACAAAGGGTTTCTAAGCATGCAGGGTAAACTTGAGCAACCAGTTTTAGTTTTGGCTGTTTTCTTTAAACAGCACCCTTGGCCCCAGCTAGCCAACTAGCTAGCTGCGTCGGTGGCCCGAAAAGTAACTAGCCACTCCACGTGGACGCCGCAGTCTCTAGCCGTCTCTCATACTACTGGCCATCCAGCTAGCAGCTGGCTGGCTGGCCATCTAGCTGCTTACCGGCTAGCTATCTGCGGAGGTAGAGCTGCGTTGTGCGGAGCCACACAACACAGGAAGCAGCCGCCAAGCAAATGAGGGCTAAAAATAGACAAAAGCAGCACAAGTTGGGAATACGGCGAAGCAGGCGCAGTAGCAAACTGGGCCTGCATGCGCTCTTGGCCTCAGCCCTTAAAAATGTACCCAGAAGGGCCCCGCAGCAAACCTTAGCTGCAATGGAGCGGTGCGTAAGGCTTCGGGCTTTGGGCATGGGCGCTACAGTCCAGAGTTGACACTCTGTCTACTTGCCCATTCAGCCGAGCATCTGCAGGCTTTTCCATTCTTTCACTCTACTGTACAAACGCTAACCCCGGAACTGTAGACCCTGTATCCCAGACCCTAAACCCTGACCACCAAAACCTGTCTCGAGTTGGGTTGTGCAGGGAGTTGATTAAAGAGGAAACTGCTGAGGTTCGTGACTGCCTTCGTTCCGGTGCTGCCCCCTGCAGCAGCCGCAGCTGCAGCTGCAGCAGCAGAACCAGCAACAGCAGCAGCAGCAAGCTAAGCTCCAGTGGCAGACAATCAGCAAGAAAAGCTGGTGGCGGCACCCAAAGACGCAATGGCGACTCGAAATCCCTAAGAAGCGGAAGGAGAGGTGTCGCTGCTTCTGCTCCCACTGCTGCACCAAAAGCAGCAGCAGCAGCAGCAGCAGCAGCACAAGATTCGCCACAAGACGCCAGCACCAGCCACTGCCGCTCTTCCAAAACCAGAAGACGCCGCGGCCACGCCGCCAGCAGCCCCTGCAGCAAGACAAGCACCTGCAGTAGCAGTATGAATAGAAGACAGCGCGGCAACAGCAGCAGCAGTAACAGCAGCAAGTGAAAACGTCTATGAGGAAGAGTGGGGCCCCGCAGCCAGCTGTGGAACCCAAGCGTAGAAAGGTTTCTTTTTTTGTCGCTGCTAGCGGCACTTGGCCTCAGAAATTTGAATCGCTTGCTCGAAAGCAGCATGCATGCGTAATCTTGGTTCTGTCATTTGCATTTATGAGCCGGCAGTTCATCGGCAGACAAGGGGAACATGCGGTAACGCTTTCTACTTTTGGTAGGAGTGCCTGTCTGGCATTCCTATTATCCTTGGGCTGCCGATTTGCAGGAAGCAACAGCAAGCGATTGCACGTTAAAAAGCAGGTAGCATGAATTTGCTTCAAGAGAATCCAAAAAACCTCAACAAATCTACGTGCGTCTATATATACGCAGGTGCGTAATTAATATATGCACCTGCGCATGCATGAATCGTTGTTCTGACCTCAACCATTTCCAATTAATTTAGCACCTGAGTGCCCTTTAACTGCATAACCGGCGATATGCATCGCTTGTTTGCCAGAGAACTCGAATGTGTGCTTTGACATTGTGATAAACGCATAATTTATAGCTCCGTAAAGTGCAATTCCGCTGCCTAGAGGCAGACGCGCTGCTGCGGGACTGCAGCACCCTCTCCCATGCTTAATGACGCTGCGCCCTCAACAACATCCTGGTGCAGCACAAAATGCTCGGGCGATCCCCCCATCAGCTCTTAATCCTGTAAAAATACTTGCAGGAGGCTCTAAAGGCTCTGGGGATTCAAGCTGATTTCGAAATTTTGCACTGGTAGCTCATCTTGTTCTGCTCCGTCGTCTTACAGGACAGAACACTTGGTTGATAATTTTTTGAAATTTGCCATACTTCTGTACAGTTTTCCACTCCTCATGCCACTGCTGCTGCTATCGTTCAAATAATTCCTCCCCGGCTGCTGTTGCTTCCACTTGTCTTACTGCTTCTGCCATTTCCGGAGAGGTGAGCAGGACAGGCTGCGGGAGCCGCCTATTCTGAATGGCAGGGGCAGCAACAGCAACAACTGCAGCAGAAAGAGCAGCTGCCGCTGCAGAATCAGCAACATTTTGCAGCAGCGGCTCCAGCAAGACTCGACAACAACTGCGAACCCTGGAAACACCTGACTTGCAATATCTGCTGAAGTCAGTGGTTTGCCTCGCCACGTGCCCTCCTTGCTCCTGCTGCCAACAATTTCCGCGGAATACTATAAAACAATTTACATGTTCATATCATATGGTGTGGGGGATATGGAGGCGCAATGAGAGCGTACGGTGAACAGCAGCATCAATTGTATACAACCAAAAGCAGAAAGAAAGCCAGCCACGCCAGACTGTTTGCTGTTTCTTCTTGCTGTTATTGCAGCAAGAACCAGAGAAAGAAGTCTTCTGGGGCATGAATGCTGGTGAGATAGCATTTGACTCATCGAGGAGGTACACAACAAGTGCAAAAGTCGGACGAAATCGACAAGAATGCAGGAGCAACAAGAGAAAAAGGAAGTGACACAGCAGCTATAGTGGCATCCGCTGCAGCGGAAGCGCCTGCAGCATCAGCAGTAGCAGCAGCAGGACCAGCTAGTTTGTAGAAACATAATGACATTGGAAGGCCACGAGGCTGTGGCATGCACGGTGGAATCAGAATGATGTCGAGTACAAAGAGCTGCAGGAGGAGCTTTCCGCAAGCTGGAGCAGAAATAACAAGAGCCTTACTGAGAAACTTGTTTTTGCTGTCTGCTCTGGCTTAAGGTTGGGTCACAGTAGACGTTTTCAGTGAAGTGCATGACGTTGTGGAAATGTTGAACATGCAGAAACAATACAGCATTGGCTGCAGGAAGTAAGCGAAAACACACAGCGTTGCTGCAGGAAGTAAGCGAAAAAATATTCGCCGCAGCGAGCAGAGGCGGAGACAGTTCCGCAGGAAATCGGACGTGCTGAACAGCAGCAGATGAAGTGCAATTCCCATCAACTAAAGTGACGTAAGTAGCGGCAACAGAGCCACCAAAAGGTGCACCGAAAACCTTAGGGGTGAATGCATTGGCAGCTGTTGCAGAGCTACAGCAGCACTGCGGCGCTGCTACAGCAGACGCGGAAGTATAAAAGCATCGAGTGCAGCAGAAACAGGAGCCGCAGCAGTGGAATTACACATGCTGCATCAGGCTGCACTGTATGTAAAGCAAAGGTACATCAGCAGCCTAAGCAGGAGCAGGAGCAGCAAACCAAACCTTCTGTGCGATTTGGTTTACCTTTCAATCGGTCATGCATTGAAGGAAAGTCTCACGTACAAAGTCTACCGTGCAGTTTGTTTATAGTCTCTCATACATTTACGGGAAGAGAACCCATACAAATTACGACCCACAGTTCCTGTGACTGATCTGTTACCTCTGCTCTGCTCTTTGGTTTCGACATTAGCTGACTTTGCAGCAGTACCTCGAAGTTGCTGCTGCGAGTAGTTCCCAATGATGATTTACACTGGAGCTGATGCAGAACTTGTTGATTTTGCTGTTGTTGCACCACGTCCATATGTTGACGCCAAACCCCGCAAAAAGACACCTGCTACAATGGGGACTTGTTGCTGCTATCATCTCTTGCTGCTGCCGCCGCTAAATCTGCAACTGGCAGGGCTACTTCTGCTTATCACACACACCAACTGCAAAATAAATCGTACAACAACGACAAGCTCTAGGCCTCAGGACCTGAATTTTATGCCCAAAACCTTACACTTTAGAGGTTGAGCGCTGAAAGCTGAACCATAAGACTCGCGTGTTGCAAAATGGCAGTCTCCTCCCGGCTTTTCTTGGTCTTTTTTCTCCTCCGACCGTTTTATAAAAGCTATCCAACAACTTGGTGCTGCTTGTAACGCTGATTTCTCCAGCTTACACGGTGCTGCGGCAGCTGTTACTCCTGCTTGTGCCGTTGTCGGGCAATTTTTCCCCCCTTAAGCATTGCCACCTACAGCAGCGGCAGCATTAGCAGCAGTAGTGGCAGCAGCAGTAGCCTCAGCAGGAGTAGCAGTAACAGCAGCCACAGCAGGGGTAGCAGCAGCAGTAGGCCTTTGGCCAGCCGGGAAAAGGTTTTAAGAGTTTCTTTGCGCGGCCACTTTTGCAGCCATTAAAGCGAGGCTAGGATCTAGGGTTTTCATATTCCCAACGCGGCCCCCGGATGAACTAGAGTCCTAAGGGGGCCCACCCGAGTCACCTCCCAACCAGGTGCGTGGCTTCGGGCTTTGGAGCCCCTCAAGCAGGGTCCCCCAGGAACCCGCTGTTTGTCTTTAGGGGCCCCTGGGGTGCTTATAGGTCGAATATGGGTTTGAGCTCCTGAGGCGAGTGTGGAGGGGGCTGTGTGCATTCTGCAGCAGCTTTGCTGTAGAGCTCTGTGTACTTCGCCAGCAGTAGCCCCAAGGCAATGGCCCGGGTGCGGCGGCGGGCCGCCCCCTCGTTTATAGCAGCAAGGAGGGGCATGTCGAGGGCTTTTGGGGAGCCTAGAACTGCAGCAATGAACTGCTTGCATGCATCGCCAGTCCTGAGGGTGGGGCCGGCAGCAGCAGCAGCAACAGGAAAAGAGACACGGCTGCAGCGGCTGCAGGACGTGCCTCCTGCATGCAGCGACTCAAGCTGCTGCTGCCGTAGAGCCCCAAACCTAACAGGTTATCTAACTCTTCTGTCTGCTCTTCTATTAGCTGCGTCAGCAGTTGGCGCTGCTGCCGATGCACAGGCATTGACACAGCCTCCTGCAGCACCAAGACCTGCTGTTGCAGCTGCTGCTGCTCCTGCAGCAGCTGCTGCTGCTGCTCCTGCAGGCTGGCGTCCCACATGAACGCCAAACTCTGCAGCTGCAGTGAGGCCCTCAAGCATGAAAACGAATTTATAAGAAAGACGCAGCTCGAGGCCTTGCCCATGAAGTGAGCCATTTGCAGACAGTAGTTGAGGCAGCGGGACACGTCGCGGCCTACCAGCGTCTCCAGGCGACTCACAGCGCGCGTCGGCTGCTGCTGCTGCTGCTGCTGCTGGGGCTGCTGCTGGAACTGCTGCTGAGGCTGCTGCAGAGGAGAAAGAGAAGCTGCGTACGCTAACAGCAGGTCTTGCAGGCGCGAGGCAAAAGCCGTTAGAAACGGAGGCAAACTGCTGCGGGGTGGAGCCCCCTCTTCAGCGGCGGGGGCCCATTCTGCTGTTGCTGCTGCGGATAGCTGCGGCAGCAGCAGCGCCGAGGAGTCCCACTGGGTCTCGAGCCTGTCCAGCACCCTCGTTGAAAGATCCAACAAGAAACGCACCAGCAGCGGCTGCCGCTGTTGCTGCTGCTGCTGCTGATGCTGCTCTCTCTCAAGACGCTTTTCAGGAGAGTTCTGAACGGCAGCAGCGATTGCTTGCTCAGTAGCCGCTGCTGCTTGTTCTAGCAGCAAGCCTATTTTGAACGCTGTGATGCCGCAGCTGCTGCTGCTGCTGCTGCTGCTGTTTATGCTACTGTCGAGAACAGCAGCAAGCTGAGCAGCAAGGGGCCCATGAAGAGCCTCAAGGGACCCTTCTAGCAACGCTGCGGGGTTCAGCAGCTCCTGTAGCGTGGCTGCGCTGCTGCCAGCCTCAGTGGGGAGAGTTGCTGCGTCTGAAAGCGGCAGCCAACCCCGCACCTGCTGCTGCTGCTGCAGTTGCGGTTGTAGTTGCTGTTGCTGTTGCTGCTATTGCTGCTGTTGCTGTTGCTGATTTACAAGTGGAAAATGGGACTCTGCAGCCTCGTCGCTTCTTTCACATACGTCTGAAGCGTCGGCAGAGAAGCCGTGTCTCTTTTCCTGTTGCTGCTGCTGCTGCTGCTTCTGGATTCCAAGTGCAGCAGCTCCCCCACGGGTATACAGCAGCTGCAGCAGGGAGACAAAGACAGCGGCTTCTGCTGCTGCTGCACGCGGGACCCACCGCAGCGCCGCCGTGAGGGTCCTCGGCGCTTCCTTGCCTGCAGCAAACCTCATGGGCTCCCCCCAGGGGCCCTCCGCAAGGAGTTGCTGCTGCAGTTGTTGCTGCAGCAGCTGCCGCCGCAGACGCAGCAGCTGCTGCGGACACTGCAGCAGATAAGTGGGATGAGAGTGAAGGTCCGCTAAAGCTTCCCATAGGACCGCACACTGGTTGCTTGTCTCGCTGCTCTGTGCTGTTGCAGCTACTGTTGCTTCTGCTGCCGCCGCTGTTGCTGCTGCTGTTGTTGCTTCAGAACCGTGTTTCCAATTCTTTTGCAGCAGCTGCTGCTGCTGAAGCGAATATTGCTGCTGACCTGAGATGTCAAGGAGCACTTGGAATGCAGCCCCAACGGCATCTGTGTCTCTCGTTGGTGCTGCTGCTGTGGCAGCTGCTGCTTCCCCTGTTGCTGCTGCTGCAAGGTGCTGCAGCAGCTGTTACTTCTGCTTGTGCCGTTGTCGGGGCAATTTTTCCCCTCTTAAGCATTGCCATCTACAGCAGTGGCACCATTGGCAGCAGTAGTGGCAGCAGCAGTAGCCTCAGCAGGAGTAGCAGTAACAGCAGCCAGCAGGGGTAGCAGCAGCAGTAGCTTGTCTGAACTCATTTCCCAGAAGACGAACTTTACGCCTGCAATTGCTTCCTAGGCGTAGAGTGCCCCTACAATGTTCACGGCTGCTTGCTGTCTTCTGTTTGTCCCTAATAGTAGGAACTAACTTTTGCACCTTGTGCTGAATGCCATGGTTAAGCTGCTGCAT